TTGCACGGCAAGGTCGCCTGGCTCGGCATCGCGACGGCCATGCGCATCATCTACGGCGACACGAGCTCCAAGCCGCTCGCGCGCGTCGAGGTCGCGGGCTTGATCACGACGCTCGCGAAGCTCGGCACCGCCGTGCGCTTCGCCGAGGAGATGACCAACGGCGACTACGACGCGTAGCGCGCGCGCTCAAAAGAGGGGCGGGCGCGGCGGCGGACCCCGCGCGAGACACCGCGGGCGGGCGTAATCGGGAAAACATACTACGTAGTAGTGTCCTCGTACTAGTATGCCAGTGTTCCAAGGGGCTTGACTTGGCGTGTCGGCGCGAAGCGAGGCGCTCGAGCGACGGCGAAATCAGCGTTAGCGCGTGCCGTCGCTTGCGCACTTGCAAGTGCGCCGCATCTTATCTCATCTCGCCGCGCGCCGACGGCTCGGTCGACGCTCGGTAGGCTCTCGGTCGGCCTTGGGCGGGCGCGCCTCGAGGGACACGCCTTGAAGCGGAGGCGCATCCCCAGCCGGTGCTCAAGCTGCTCGTCGGTGCCGCGATGGTCGCGCCGGCGCGGGCCGGCCGGTGGCTGGCGCTGGTCGTGTGCCAGCTGCTGTCCGTGCGGCCCTTCATGGCGCCCGCGGTGTCGCCGCTGGCGCCGCGGCGCGTGGCGCGGTCCGTCATGGAGAAGAAGGCGGATGTGGTCCACACGAAGGAAGAGAAGGAGCGGGAGCTCGTGGAGAAGGCGCTCATGGACGAGTGGATGACGGCCTGGGAGGACGAGAAGGCCCAGGAGGGCTTCGACTGGGAGATGGAGAAGCTGCGGCGGAAGCTCGACGACGCGCGGCCGCCGCGCCCGCCGTCGCGCGCGCGACCCGCGCGCCTCACGCGCCGCCCCATGCGCAGGTGCCGGAGAAGTTCGGGGGCCCCAAGTTCTGGCGGCGCTTCATCGAGGCCAAGCCCGAGTCGACCTACGGCGCGTACGCGGGGTCGACGTACCCCGGGAGCAAGCCCGGGGGCCTCGACTCGTTCCGGATCCTCTTCAACAACCTGCTCCAGTTCCTGCTGGGCAACGAGTCCGAGGACGGCGCCGCCGTCGCCGGCTGGGACTGGCGCGGCGCCCTCGAGCGCGCGGGGCCGGGCCTCATGGCCAAGTCCATCGCGACGGGCGACCTGCAGACCTTGGTCGGCGGCCCGCTCTTCCTGCTGCTGACCAAGTACCACAACGAGCTCGGCCCCGTCTTCAAGCTCGCCTTCGGCCCGCGGTCCTTCATCGTCGTCGCCGACCCGAGCATCATGCGCTACATCCTGCGAGACGGCGCGATGAACTACGACAAGGGCATCCTCGCCGAGATCCTCGCGCCCATCCTCGGCAACGGCCTCATCCCCGCGGACCCGGACGTCTGGCGGCGGCGGCGGCGCGTCATCACGCCGGCCTTCCACAAGCAGTGGCTCGCGTCGACGCTGAGCCTGTTCGACGAGTGCACGATGGAGCTCGTCGACGATTTGAAGGCGCGGCACGCGACCGCGGAGCCCGCCCCCCTCCCGGCGACGGTGGACGCCTGGACGGCCTGGAAGGCCGACGACGCGCAGCCGCGCGCCCTCGGCGCCGTGGACATGGAGGAGCGCTTCTGCTCCGTGAGTTTGGACATCATCGGCCGCGCGGTCTTCGACTACGACTTCGGCTCCGCCAAGGCCGAGTCGCCCCTCGTGCGCGCGGTCTACCGCTGCTTGATCGAAGCGGAGAAGCGCACGACGGCCTTCATCCCCTTCTGGCTCATCCCGGGCGCGCAGTTCCTGCCGTCGCAGGTCGCCTTCAAGAACGACTTCGACCTGCTGAACGCGAAGCTCGACGAGCTCGTGGCCCAGGCCTTCGAGGAGCAGATCGACGATGACGACATGCTCGAGGCGGGCCAGGAGGTCACGAAAGCATCGACGGAGCGCATCTCCTTGCTGCGCTTCCTCGTGACGATTCGAGGGGAAGAGGCGTCGACGGGCCAGCTCCGCGACGACCTGATGACCATGCTCGTCGCCGGCCACGAGACGACGGCGGCGCTGCTGACCTGGACCCTCTACGAGCTCTTCCACCCGTCGAAGCGCGCCGCGGGCCACTTGGAGCGGTTGCGCGCGGAGGTCGACGCGAACTTCGCGCTCCGAAAATCCGAGAACCGGACCGCGACGGCCTACGCGGACGTCGTCGACTGCGCCTTCGCGCGGCTCTGCCTCGCCGAGGGCCTGCGGCTCTACCCGCAGCCGCCCCTGCTCATCCGGCGCGCGCTCGACAGCGACGAGCTGCCGCAGCCCTACGCGGACGGGAGGAGGACGGCGCCTCCGCCCCCAAGCGGGCCGCCATCGCGATCCTCGCCGCGGTCGTCGCCGCCGCCACGCTCTAGACGCGCTCTACAACCCCGTCGCATGCTGTCTTCCAGCGAGCCCGGCTGAATCACCATGCCGAAGCCCCGCTGCTCGCGGCCCTAAGTTTGTGTAGCTGTCTGTCTGTCTGTGGTATGGACATGCGGCACGCCCGCGGGCAGGTCGCGTTACCCTGCGAGGCGTCGAAAGTTTGGGATCCCGGGAGTGCACAAAAGCTCGTTGGCTCTCTCGGAAGCGGCGTCGTCACCTGTGCCGCGCGCCGCGTCCCAACCCCAAGCGTAGCACGATGCCATCCCAAATGGCCGAGATGGAGGCGCTGTCCCAATGTCCGACAGTCGCCACCGTGCGCCAGCTCGCGGCGCTCGACGGCGCCGTCGCGGGGCTCGGGACGCGCCCCGCCGTCCTCGCGGACGCGCCGAAGCGCCTCCGGGACGCGGCCGCGCGGCTCCTCCTCCTGGCGCAGCGCGTCGAGCACGCGGCGAGTGGCGTGATCGTGCGCGCGGCGCGGCGCTCCCTCGCGGCGCGCGCCGAGTCCGCGGCCGCGGCGGCGCCCGCGGAAGCGCCCGAGGCGGCCGCGGCGGAAGCGCCCGAGGCGCCGGCGAAGAAGACCGCCGCGCGCCGGGAGACGCTCGGCGGCGCGCGGCGCGCACCCTTACGCCCCAAGCTGACCAAGGCCGCGGCGCGGCGCAAGGAGCTCGGCGCGAAGAAGGCCGAGGAGGCCGAGGCGCGGGCCGCGGCGAAGCGGAAGGAGCTCATGGGCGGGGGCTGGTGCGGCGCGACGGCCGCGTGGGTCGAGCAGGACCGGCGCATCGCGCGGAAGATCTCGAAGAAGCGCCGCGAGGCCGGCGACGACGACGTCGTTGAGGCGGAGGACGCGGCGGAGGCGTCGGACGGCGCGGAGGCGCCCGCGGCCGCGCGGAAGCGGCCGTGCGCGCACGAGGCCGCGGAGCGCGCGGCGCTGCGCTGGCTGCGCAAGGCGGAGGCGGGCGACGTCGGCCTGGACGTCGCGGAGGTCGAGGGCGTCGTCGCGGCGCTGCGGCGCGCCAGGGGCCGCGTGTCGCTGACGGCGGACCGGCCGCCGATGACGCTCGCGGCCGCGCGCGCGAGCCTCCGCGAGGCCATCGCGAAGTTGTTGGGCGGCGACGCGTCCGTCGAGGTCGAGGTCGAGCGCTGGGACCAGGTCGTGCGCCAGCACCCGGACTACAAGCGCGAGCTCGACCGGGAGCGGCGCCGCTGGGACGCGCTCCAGGCCGACGCGACGCGCGACGCGCTCGCGGCCGTCCGCGGCGCGGTGCCGC